TGTTCTATCTATGTGTTTTATAGAGCTGTAGCATCCTGTCCGTCACACACACAGTCCTTGAACTTCTGGACTTCTTCAATTAAAGACAGACTGCGGCTCACTAAGCTGAAGAAGAATTCTATCAACAAAAGGCTACTGCAGTCCACGAAACTGAAGAAGATAAGTATGGTATCAGAAGGAAATCATAACAAGGACTCTACCCGATAAGCACAAAACTGGAGGTAGAGGTATATCAGGATTCTTCTAGGGTTGATCTCACCTTGCGAATATAAATAGAAGGGAGGACTGCCTGGTTTCGGCGAGAATTCAGAGAGCAAGAGAGAGAATATACTAAGAGAGAATCCTGAATAATTTATCAGCCAAACAGATCGAAGAATACAGAAGGCTGGTATGCAGAATAATCTTTCTGCATAGAGATTAATGTGCGTTCCAGATGGTTGAACTGAGAAGAGCTGGAGCGTAGGCCAGGAACACGTCACAGATAAGTTGTTCAAGTGTTTCAGTCTTGGTATCTCTTCATAAACCGAGTTTATTGCATCCCATTAAGTTGTTGAGTTTAGATCAATGAATAGATCGAGTCTGTTGTCATTGAGGGTGTAAACTCTGAATTGATTTAGTGGGAAGGCTGTTACACTGACGTGGGCCTCGCAGACGTAGGAGAAATTGCTCCGAACTGCGTAAACAAACTTGTGTGTCGTGTGCTGCTTGTTTTAGTTTCATTATATTTATTCAGCAGTTGGTGAAGCACTTTGTTTTACAGATTAGTATTAGAAAGTGCTTCAGCAACCTCTGCAGCAACTTGTTCTGTTCTAGTTTACTACAGGTCATATACTGAGGAAAGTGGAACTTTCAGATAACCCCCCCCCCCCCTTTTATTTGATTGTAATTTCGACCATACCTCTAATGTCTTTATGTTGTGCGTATTGGCCTATAATAAACCAACATATAATATGGAGTATATGTTTTGTTGACATAAAGGAAACAAAAACAAAAAATAGGTTATAATCTTTTAATATGAAAGATCAAATCTTTAGTTTATTAATAATATAAAAATGTAATATATTTGGTGCTTACGTAACTATTGCATGCTCTAGAGGCCAGGTAGTAATAATATTTATGTGTCAATAGTTCAGTGTACCTGTTCAATATTGGAATAAGCTAACATAATTAAATGAGAACTCCAGACCACACTCTCTTATAATACATTCTAATATAAGCAATTCAATTGACACTAAAAACATAAAAGCACAGCAAATCTAAAGCAGTTAATAAATTTACATTCGAAGCATGATATTGTTTGTTCTAATTCAGAAACTTACGAGAGAAACACCGCGAAGTTACGAGAGAAACACTACAATTATGTGTCACCAAATATTTGTAGTGAAATAACTTAGCAATTACATCTTCTTTTTTTTAGTTTGGGAAGAATGATTCTATATCATAAAATGCTCAGGATGGAGATCTTGATGGTGATCTCCATATGTTGATTGCCAATGTAATTGGGCAGAGGTCTGTTTTCCTGCCAAACTCACTACGGACAAAAATATACTGTATACTCAAAGTTTTAGTGCAACCAAAGTACTCATGAAATCTATCTTAGAACCTATAGAAAATATGGAATTAGTCATCGTACAGATATTTACATAATCCAATCAATTCAACAGGCAGCTCCACTCACACAACACAAACCCATGAGGATCCCATGGAGAACAATGCGAGGAAAAAAAGGGGTTTGAGGTTTGATCTCTCTCCCATTAAAAAAATTCAAAATTCATGTGAATTTTGTTCAAATATTAAAAACTCAATTTATCCAAGTTAGCACAATATTGATAGCGTCAGAGAATGTCTTGAGGCTTGACGACTAGAACTCCATGAGGATGCTTTTTCTAGGACTGTATCTCATTAATAATATTGTGAATAAAATCTCGATTTAATTCATATTGTTCATCAATATACCTTAATTAGTTCCAAATGGTTTTGTTCCATAAACTCATATGCAAATTTAGAATCTCTCTATGTATTCCTCAATTTTAGCATTTCTTATCTGTGTGTTAATTCAAGTATGTTGCCTAAAAAAATCAAGTTTATTTTTTTTCCTACTCAGAAAAACACAGGAAAAAGTGGCGAGTTTGGAGTCAAAACTCTATAAAAGTTTCATAGACACATATAAAATGGAGTGAAAGGGAAAGACGGCATTTACAAAGCAATGAAGTGGCAGAATCTGCAAATCACAATCAGGTATTACTATAAAACTTCTTTTTTATTCTCAGTTGTTTTGTTAGATCTTTACGTACCCCCTTGGATATAATTTGGATTGTGTACATCTTTTGTTAAGATTTATTCCTCTGCAATTTGTTTTCAAATGCATTAAATTTTCAGTATTACTTTATTCAGATTTCAATCACGCGTGAATAAATTTTTATTGTCGTTGTTTAATAATGAACTATATGGATCTAGAAATAGGGAAGCCTCCCTTGAGGAATTGAAGCCAGAAATAACTTAGTAAAATTGTCATTTTATCATTTTACGTTTTCTTTTTTTAAATTTAATTGACCAAAAACAAAAAAAATCCTATTAACAAAAAAAAAAGAAGTAGAAGAAGATAGAGAGGACGGTAGGTGGAGAAAAGAGGAAGAGAAAAAGAAGAAGAAAAAGAATTTAAAGAAGAAAGATGAATGAATGGAGCAAACCAACAAGAGGAGAAAAGGGCTGTGGTGACCGGGATGGCCATCCACGGTCACACCTAAGAGCATGTACAGCAGCGAGTCAAATTGGTGCCATGCCTGCCACATCATATGGCATCCCTTGTTTGCAAGGCATGGAGGAAGCGTTCCACTCCTCTTTGCGAGGCATGTCCGTGGCACTTTTGCACTATTTTTTTCTTTCTTTTTGTTAAACTTGGGAAACATCTTTGCTTTCTAGTGCTTGTCCGTCGCATCCAATTTTGAATTCTCCTTCCTTCCAAAATAGAGTTTTGCACCATTTTTTTCTTTCTTTTTTTTTTTTTAGGTTTTTTAATGAATAATATTTTCCTATAAAGAAGTAAAAATATTTTTATGATAAAATAAATAAGTAAAACAATTAAAAAATAATTTTATATAATTTAATTTAAAAAATTTAAAAATTAATTTTCCACTTTGTACAATTAAAATCTTTACAAGAAAATGCTGTAATTTATAATAAAAAAAGCACACATGGACTAATTAAAATATGTCAAAAATGTTAATATTGCCAAAAAAAGATTACAATTATTTTTAATAAAAAAGGTAAGTAAAATAATTTTTAATAATTAAAATATATTAAAAATGTGTAAAAAATGATAAAAGGAGTGACTTGCCACTGCAAGACATGCCACTCCACTCATGTACCACACGGTGACTGGACTTTTTTGATTGGCTAAAATACTCCACGTCATCGTGTGGCATTCAACTTCTTACTTGCCATTGCTCATGCTCTAAGGAGGCGGTGTTCCCCGCGTGATAGGGGTGCCAATGAAGAGGACTTGACAACAACATTTTTTATGATATCTTTGCCATGCCCACCTTTATCCCACCTTTCTGCTATCAACATTCCAACGCGGCCTCAAGTCTTATGGAAAAAAAGGTTCTAAAACTCACCATGACTCATGAATACAAATAGTTTAATAATCAAAATCAAACTCATAGGAAAAAAATGAAATACTTGGGTAAATAAGAGTATTTAAAGAAATACTTGAGTAAATAAAAGTAATTAAACCATTTTGTTATGGGCATCTAAAATTGAAGAAAGAGTAGGTTTTGGGATGAAGCTTGAAATGAAAGCAAAGAAAGCAACACTTGCAATGGAAACAAACAAAATAAAATAAACAAGCAAATTGACAACATATGCTTGAGATAATATTTACTATTTATGGGTTTGTATTTACTATCTGATCTATATCTCTAAATTCGAGCAGTGAACAACATATTTCGAGGAGTAAAGTGATTTCTATCATACCAATCTGCGAAATTTTAATCATGCTTCCTATTTATGTGAAATGAAATTGTGATAGGATTCATCAAAAAACATTTTTGTTGATGCCTAAATTTTAAAATTTGAGAAAGGTGTATAAAGATGGACATCGAATTTAATATCCATTAGAGCACTGGTAATGGTACTCACGCCCACCAGCGTTACGGGGCGTTTAACGCCCCGGGGGCGTGAAACACCGCCCCCCGCCGGCGTGAAAAGGGCGTGAGGGCGGCTACGTCATTCCTTTGACGCGGCGTGAGAGCCGTTTTTTCGGCCCAACGGCTATAATGCCGTTACCCCCCCCCCCCAAATTAAAAAAAAATTAAATTTAAAAAAAAAAACCTATAAAATCCCCCCTTCTCCTACATCTTCCTCACACCTCTCTCTAACAAATCTCTCTTTATTACTATATATTCTCTCTAAAAAATTTATTATTTATTATAAATATTTATAAAATATAATTTAAAAATGGGTTCATCTTCCGACGATGAAAGAAGAGCTTTATTTTTTCGTTGTTTCGCGACGAATTGTATTCAATGGTGGGAAGATGGCCAAGAAGAAGCCGAATCCTCCCGACGACGGACCCGACGCCAACGTCTTAATCGGGATCGAACGGCCGCCCACGATTTTTTTTATAATGAATTTAATTTTTTTTATGCAATAGTGTCACTGCGATTAATTAAAATAATAAATTAATTTAAATTTATAAATTTAAATTTAGAAGATGTATATTTAAAAGTGTAAAAAATGAAGGTTTGAAGCCCCAGTTTGAAGCCCCGGGGCTTCAAAACCATTTCCAGTGAATTTTGGGTGTAAGTTAAAGCTGACGTGGCAGAGAGAGAAAGTTTGAAGCCCCGGTTTGAAGCCCCGGGGCTTCATGACCATTACCAGTGCTCTTAGGGGGCACTAAGGATTATGAGATGTTGGGAAGCAATTTGTTGGCTTAATTGAGCTATATACTCTTTTAGCTTATAATCTTTTCCTTTATAGAACTTAAAAATTGCCATCAACTTTGTTTGACATAATTTGAATAAAGAAAGTAAAATAAATCACAATATCACATTCGTCTTTGCTCCAGGTTCAGGTTGGTGTGTGTATGAAGGTGTTAATTTATAAGAGTCATATCATCCTTTATCTTTTATATGGAGTATATACAAATCAGACTCCAAGCTGCAGAAATGCGACATTTGGTGGAACTGTGTCATGACATTTGGCGAATCTGACGTGTCAACTTTTTAGACCAATAATCGTGAGTTGGCATTTTTAAGTGGGAGTAAAAGGAAAAAATCAAAGAACACCAAAAAAAGTATTCCTTCCCACCTACTTTCCTTTTAATGTCGATACAACTTAGCATTAAAAAATGGGAGCTTTCCTTCTCCTTTTCTGATTTCCTTTGGTTAATTTTTGGTAGCATATTGAATAATCGCACTTTGATGCTTTCTCTGAAGTCGTCAATCGACGGAAAATTAGAATTTGAATCGCCTCTCATTTCATGTTATTCTCACGTCTTTCTAAAATTTAGATTGTGTTTCCTTCATCCGAATCCTTGATCGACTGTCAATTGGTAAGGTTTAATTGATTTGATTTTCCTGGATTCTTAGGGTTTATGTTTGGTATTTCTTGCTCAATCGGAAATACACACTAGCGGATCTGAAAGCAATTTGTTTTAAATTGATATGTTTCTATGCCAAAATTCATGTTAAATTGTTAACCCCTGCAAAATTTGCATTTTCCCCACATTTCAATACAATTTCGCCCTTAAGTTAACATACAATTACATGCTAGAAATTGGTTTGTTTTTTTTCTAAATCCATATGTAATTTTAGAAAAATCTTTTGAAATTGCATTTTTTCCTAAATTCATATGACTTTTACCTAAATTAGCATTGAAATTGCTTTTTTTTCTAAATTCGTATGCACTTTTTATTTAAATTAGAGTGCAACTTCAAAATCTCTACCCTTGTGGTTGTGACAATGTTTAGAGTGAAGGATGCTAAAGCCGCTGCTCAACAATTGAATATATATGGGAGCTTCTTTAACTTATAATAATCATTTTATTCTACATAACACTAAATGATGGCAATTTTCTTTATGAGCATATTGTTGAAAATGAACATTGATTTCCAATTTAAGTTTTGATGAGTAATTTACTCAATAAAAAATATTCTAGATATATTTTTCTTGAACTCGAGGAATGACTGCGGGTTTACATTGGCTGTTTGAAGAAGGTAACGTTGCCGTGATATTTGATTTTTGAACGGTCAGTGTTGCCATAGGTCAGAGGTTAACATGAGCAATTTGTAGTTCCATATTCACACTCTCACTATGAAGACAAATTATTTCCAAAGCTATATTTACAGAAACTTGACATTGTTTTTTAGTTAGTACAGGAGAAAGAATACTAGAGATTGATGCCATGGTTCTTGCTAATAGAGGTGTTGTTTGTATTGACGAGTTTGATGAGATAAATGACCGAGATTATATGGCTATACATGAAGTTATGAAGCACCAGACTTTAACAATTGCTACAGCTGGAATGCATACATCCTTGAATGCTCGGTGCAACAAATCCTATCTATGAATATGTGAGTTTACAGTTTATTAAAACCACTTGAGGACATTCCCTAAAACTTGCTACTTTTCTTATCCTTCCTAATGATAGTATGATCACTCAATGACTTGAACAAAGAATATTGGACTTCTAAATTCTTAATTATGAAAACTTTACATAATAATTAACTGTGATGCATTCTTTGTTTGATGGACTGAAAGAGTAATGCTTTTGATCAATGCTGAGCATTATAAACAATATTATGGCTATCAAGGACTCATGTCAAGCTCGAGGTTATAAGACAGGTATGCCTTATGTCAATTTGAGTATTAGAAACATCCTATGTCTAGCTGAATTTTAGAAGACCAGGAAATATTTTAAATACAAAAAATTAAATTACTGGCATGATATCAAAACTTCTCATGGGTGAAGAAAAGTGACAAAAGTATTTTGAGTTTAGACATTTTATTGCTTCTTGATTATTCTTTTTATGCACTTTTTAGATTTGACATTTTATTGCTTCCAGATTATTTTCCTTCTAACATTGACTTTTTTTCTCTTTATGTGTTTTGTTAGTTAACACGATACCATGGCAGTAGATGGCCCTCCATTTGATCCCAGCATATCCATAGAGTGTCTCTGGTAAGTGTGTAAATATGAATTCTTTGTTTATTTCATCATTGAGATTGGAAACAAATCTAAAAATTAAACAACACTAAAAAAAATAAAGGAATGCCATGGATTATTTTTAACTAATTCTTTCTTCATTTATTGTCAGCTTTATGTTGCTGTTTCGTGAAGACAAAGACAAGATTACAAACATTGGTTCTAGATGACAATGAAAATCCTTGCAACCATACCAAAAATATTTTATATCCTAAAATCTATCACAAAGTTTGGTATTAAAAAAACTTTATTGAGTACACATTCAATTCCTTAAATATTATTTATTCTACTTTTGCATTTTTGTCTATAGTATTAAGAATCACGTGAGAAATATATTTTTTTAATTTCAAAAAAATATTACATTAAAAAAGTTTGGGAATCGACAAAAATTTCATTCAATCCCGTGCGTCGCACGGGTAGAATACTAGTGTGTATAAATATTTTTGCATATTCTTAATATTTTATTCAACACGTGCATTGTTTAATTACAATTTTTAAAAAAATCTTATTGCATTCTGAACTAGAGTAAATTCCATAATTTTTCCTTGATTACAAGAAGTTTCCCTATTTGGTCCTCTATAATTAAGTATTACCCTAGTGGTCATTCTTTTATGGATATCTTTCTACAAATAATCCTTTTGTGATCTTCTATCATGTTGAAGTTAATTTGATGATTAAAAGTGTAATTTCACAATGATAATATATCTTCTTTGTCATACACAATTCTGAAAATTGTTCCATTTGCGTCACTTGTAAATTACATTCTCTTTCTACTACAACCATAGTCTACAAACTCTCTCGATGGCATCATTTAAGTCCCAACACCAGTTGTCTATATAGGCAGACTCCTCCTCTTCATCAACGCCTCGTGCAACCACGATCAACTTCTAGAGAGAATCTACAAACTTTGCCTGATCAAATTTTTCTTTTTCTATTTGAAGGCCATAACTTAACAAATGAAAATGTATAATTAATTTATTACTCCGGAGTAATATTTTTTAGTGCTAACCATTCGTTAATATTTGTTACTCCGGAGTAATATTTGTTAAGTTAGTGCTAACTTAACAAATGAAAATGTATAATTAATATTTTAGTGCTAACCATTCGGTTCAATATTTTTTATATTAATTTTTTGGAAATCCCGATACGTACCATATTGAAAAAAGTTCGAATTGTTTTGGAATATAATTTACTAGAAAAAGTGAAAACAGTGTCCCATTCAACGATAGTAATTTTAGAAACAGCTTCTGTTTAGACAGTATAATTACTACTCCCTTCGTCCCATTTTAAATTGCATGTTTGCCTTTTTTTTCCGTCCCAAAATAAATTGCCTGTTAGTTATTTTCGTAAACTATCAAAAATTAAAGGGAAAAGCACTGGAATAACACTACTGTATATGTCTTAATACGTGTTTAGCACTTCCATTTAGATCAGTATTTCCCGTCATTAATTGTGGTGTGCAATTCCAGTTTTGTCCCTTGGTTTTTAGAAGGCAAACAAATTGATTTGAAAATGGCAGTGATTTTTCCGATTCTAGAGAACGACTAATCAGGCGCCAGAATCGCAAATCATAATCTGTTGCATGCTTCCGGATTTTGAGCTCGGTGAATCAGGCGGCTGTTTCGCACTTCCCAACATTATAAGCAAGAAATATGAAGCCTACAGAGTTTTCGGAGAGAGATCTATACCGTAGAGATGACGCAGTGTACGGATTGCAATGGCCGCTGAGGAAGCTTTCCGGGGTGCAGAACAAGCAGTGACAGATGAAGATGGTCTCAATGAAATTCCGCTTAGTAAAAGGATGGAGAAGGTCCAGGTATGAATTTCATGTGAGAATGTAGCCGCTAAAGGTTTGATTTTTGGCATTATGCATGGCTGTATATAGGATTCTTTGTTCGGTGATTTGGAAATTTGGTTTTGATTTTTTAGTTTGGGTGGCTTTTGCTTCATGGTGCTAAATTTGGTGTTGGTTTAAGTTTTGTAATGCCCAAAGTTTCTGTTTCTGGTAGATGAACAGGGTTTATTTTTATTTTAGTAGGTTTTAAGAGTTTGGCAGTTTGGAAGTGAATGAGTTGTGTACTTGAAGTTACTAGTGGGTTACGGGGTTTGCAGGTCTTATGAGTTTTGTGTTTGTTTGTGGAAGTGCATTGATTTGCTCCATTGAAGATTGGTTTTAGGCATTTTTGCTGTGTGTTTGTGATGTCGTGGGGTTTTACTTTTCCATGACCATTTCTGATTTTTTCATTAGTTGTGTTATAATATGGTCTCAATGATGTGTTGATTTTGTTGTTATTCTAATGTTGGGTTTGTTTGAGGCATTTTAGTGTATGGGGTTATGTGGGTTGATACATTGATGTTGTAGTGCATTGGGCATATAGGAAGCTTGGGATGTGTGGTTTTGTTGTGGAAATGTGTTTCTTTTATTTTTTAGGTGGGATCTGGGTTGTAAAATGGCATTGTGTGGTTTCTAATATACGCTTGGCATTGGAAGAGTTTTAGGTGTTAAATTCATCTTGGTAATATGCATGTACATATGTCGGGTTATTATAATGGTATAATTGGATAGCTGATTTTCAGGTTTCCTGGTTTTGATTTCATTTTTGCCTTGTAGTAGTAGCGTGGTGTGGCATGCGTGGCTTATTATTATGTATGTGGTATTTGAAGTTCGTGTAGGGTTGAATATGCGTCTTGGAACTACGCATGGACATATGTATGTTTTAAGGGTTAAGCACTGAAATAGCACTACTGTATAAGATATAATACCTATTTAGCACTGCTACTGGCCAGCTCTTTTCCGTTCTTTTAGAGAGTGTTATTTTCTGATTTTGTCCCTGTGATATTAAACTGGAGGCTAATTGATTTGAACCTGCCAGTGTATTTTCCCGATTATTGAGGACGGCTAATCAGGCGCCATATTCGCTATCATACTCTGTTGCAAGCTTCCCGGTTATTGTGTTCGGAGGTTCAGGCGGCTGTTTCGCACTTCCAAAAATATAACCTGGAAATATGAAGATTTCAAAGCTTGCGACCCCTGATAGATCTCATCCGGTGAGAAGACGCAGTGCGAGAATTGCAATGGCAAAAGAGGAAGCTTTGAACAGAGGTGAACAAGAATTGTCAGTGGAGGATGAAATTGACGAAATTCCCCTGATTAAGCGAATGGAGATGGTTCAGGTATTTGTCAGTGCGTGTATGTTATTATAGAGTGTAAAGATTTATTCTTGGCAGTATGTTATTCTTGGTTTTTTGAATTTTTATTTTCAATTTTGGGGATTTTTGGTTTTCAACTATGACATGTGTTGTGCAATGCGGTATTTCTGTTGGGAAGTGATGCTGAATAAAGAAGATAAACAGTTTTTTTTGTTTAATGTCTAGTAGTGGGGTTTTTTTCGTTTTTTTGGAATTGAAGTTCAAATCCCTTGATTTACTTCCCCCTAACCCAATTGATGGTGCATGTTGAGGTGTGTAGTATATTTGTTGGGGTTTCCTTTTCCTGATTAATAAGACTTTTGTCATTAAATTGAGTATGGAGATTGTCTTTATGTTCAGTCGAACGTGTGTTTTGCATTCACTTTCGTTATAGTTTTGACGGGTGATAAGGGTTATGGATTTGTGGGTGTGTGAAGGATAATGCTAGTGAGGATTGTGATTTTGCTTAGCTTCTTCTTGTCTTTCGTGTGTGACCTGTTGTGGAAGGGTGTGTGGTTGTTTCGACTTAGTTTTGTTAGTGGTGTTTTTGGAAATGGATTTGGAAGTTTATTTCATTGCTAAAGGTGGCTGTGCTCTTGACATGTTAAATGGTTTTTTGTTGTACAACTTGGTTTTTTTTACCTGCCCCCTCCAGGAGCATTGTTTAATTGCAAAATGGCTTGAGTGGTTAATGTTATGCGGGGCGCTTTTCAAATTCCACACATTTTTTTTAAATTAGAATTGTTTTTCTAGATAGTCCTTATTTTGATTTGATGTTGTGCTTGAAGTCCTTTTTTTGTTTATTCAGTGCAGTTTTAGTGTGTGGAATTGTTAGGGTAAGTGTGATATTGTTTTAGTGCATTGAGAGTGTTGAGATTTTTGGGGATGTGTTTTTTGGTGAGGAAGTATAGGTTGTGATAGTCAATTAGTGTTGTGTTTGGCAATGTGTTTGTGCCTGGTATGTGGCATTTGAAGTTAAGTTTAGTGAACACATTACAATATTATTTGCGTGTACATGGCGTTATTGTGGTCTGTATTACTGGTATATGTATACGTGTGGCAGTGGGAGTTTGGTTTTTGGGAGATATGGGTACTTTGGAAATCTTGGAGTACTGCCTGTTTTGTTGTTAATGTTCTACGGTGTGGTCCTTTTTTGTGGCAATGGGCGCTTTAGATGTGGGCTCGGGTGTGGAAGTATAGGTTGTTATAGTGATTTAGTGTTTTGTTTGGCATTGTGGTTGTGTCTGCTATTGGCATTGGAAGTTAGAATTCAGAGGACACATTGCAATATTCATTTAGTTCACATGGCATTATGGGGGTCTGTCTGACTGGTGTAAGATTAAGGGTGGCATTGGAATTTTGGTTATTGGGCGATACTGGTTTATTGAAATGCTTGGATTACAGCATGTATCCATGTTAATGTTGTATGGTCTAGGCTTCTTTTATTTGTGGCAGTGTAACCTTTATTTTCATGTCCTCAATGGGTCAAAGCGTAACCAACATTGGACATTAGGTTTTTGTGCGTTATTTGGACATCTAACTTTGTGTGTATTACGAGCACTCTGGTGGGCCGATGGGGAAACGGAAGTTCTCTATCGATGTCATTGACAGGTATCCCCAACAAAACGATGGGTATGTGGAAAATTTACAGTTTGTGTAGATTGAGTTGAGTTGAATTTAAATTATTTCACAATAGTTAGGTGATTAGTAGTGTTAATGGTTGTGTTTAAATATGCAGGTGCAACTGTGGAATGTTCATGTTGAAGTTTGCTGAGTACTTAATGATGGACGGAGACATTTCTGAGGTGCACTCCCGCGATATGGAGGGATACCGGGAAAAGATGACTATGGAACTCATTGTCTACAGTAATGAGCGAAAAGAGCAAGCCAAAGACACCTAGTCATGTCCATGGTTTTATTTCTTGTCGTGGAGTTATGAATGGACAAGTTTCTTTAGTATGCTTTGTGGTTTTGGTGTTTTGGGAGTATGGTATTTGTGTGGATACGTTAAGGTTTTTTTCTTTAAATTTTTATTGGCCAGACACACTGTCCTGTGGTGTTCTATATTCTGCTGTAGTATGTTTTGGTGGTGGAGTTTTTGGAAGTTACCATATTTTTTCGGAATGGGTGCTTGCGTTACAGTTTATCTGTGATTTGGTTTTAGTTTTACATTGCATTGGTGTAACTTTTTTTGTCAGTTTTTCGGTATAAGATGTTTGGTAGTGTTTGCAATGCTTAGGGTATGAAATGATGACCGTGTGTATCTAGCGCGTTTTACACTGCTGGTGGGGTTTACTATTGAAGTGCACTGACGCACTGCTAGTATTGTTGTGGTAATATGGTTTCGGGAATGAGAGTTTGAGATTGTGGAACGGGGCAGTGTATATTGCTTCCTCAATGTAGTGACACATTTCATTTGTTGTGGGGGGTAGGTTCTGGGATTGGGTTTTTCTGATTGTGGAACGGGCAGTGTACATTGTTTCCTCAATCGAGTGACACAAATCATTTGTTGTGGTGGGTAGGTTGGGTCGGCTAGAAGTGTGAGGTTGAAGGCAAAAGAGAAATAGTCTAATGGTGTGATAATACTCGGCAGGCTGGGATGGATGATTATGTTTATGATTACATATGATGTGTGTTTTGTGTTTACACTTACTTGACATATGTCGTGTGGATTTGGAGTCTGGGAGAACGTGTTTTGTGTTGTTTGAATTATGATTTTGGTTTTTCGATATGTACTGGGCAGACTCTGTAATTGTCTCAATGCCATTATTCGTGCAGGGGTGTGTGAGGGGAAAACACTGCCTATAGCCAGATGCTTTATATGTTGGTGGTTAGTGCCTGATTTCTGGGTACATCCGGTGTTTGTTACACTGCTTGAATTTACACACTGCCATTGTTTGGTGGTTGGCGTGGGGTTGTGTGCAGTGTGAGTTTTGGGTAGTGTGCAGTGTGTGTTTGGATTTGGGGTATGGCCAGTGTGGGTTGACATATGTATCCTGTGATACTGTCTCAAGGCCAATATGCATGCGGAGGCAGATGGAGGCGAGATAACCAGAATGGATGTGATGGTTTTGAATTAAAGAATATAAATAAATTATGTTTGTGATTATGATTTGTTAAGCTTCCGTAATATTGAAAACTCATTGAAAACTCTGTACTGTTTATGATATGAAAAATATTATTGTGATAAATAAAAGTGTTTGAAATGTTTTAAATTTTACGATTATCTAGTTAATACTTTAGTCCGAAAGGGGCTGCAGACCTGGACAGATTAGGGTGTTACAGCGACGCTATTCACTTGTTTAAAAACCTCAAAATTTGCGACGAAATCTGCTACGGACAAATGTCTGTTGTAGATCTGCGATGACATTTGCAACGCGCTTCTTTCTCCTATGGCAGGTATGACATCTCGCTTTTGTGGCACTTCAACTTCAGATAAAAGAGTAGTTCAGCATCATCCACAATAACCATAGGAGGTATGCACATGGCAACAATGTAGGAGAAACGAATAACATTTTGAGACCAATCCATCCGAATGTCTCCTTTAACAGTGTCGATGAGCGAGTTTAAAGAGCATTCATTAGGGACATGAATGACAGTGTCGTACTTCGAAGTGAAATTTCCAAGGGTATCCCATGTTCCATCAACACGCACCAATACCTTAATATTTGAATCCATGTTTGCAGAGCCTTGAACAGAAAAAATGATATGGTCAAATAGGTTGAGAAAACTGCTGACTTAAGTGATTAAGTAATGTTTTTTTTGGAAAAAAGACAAAGTGAATGAGTACTTGAGCATGTAATACTTAACATATTCATTCAGCTTCCATAAAAATAATGCAAGTGCAGAGGACAACATTTTACCTTGAAAGTGGTTTTTTTTAGGTGCAAAAAAAATACAGCTAATATTAGCAATTCTATCCATTAACCTTATAGATCAAGATGTCATTACAGTAAACCAATATTAAATAAAATTGAAAATCACTAATTTTGAATGGCATTGCTGGGTAATATAAATCAGTATTGTTATAGTGCAAAAATCAATTTTTTTATGCAGCATTGCTTAATTAGGTTGGGCAGTTGGTAATGGACAAAAAAATATTACTGGTCTGGAACAAAAACAGAACATTTTTCAATGAACCTAAAACATTGGTAGATAAGAACAAAGCAGTACCTATTCGATTAGTTGAATACACACACTAGACATTGAACGTCAAAAAAAAGTTTCAAAAATTCAGTATTTGGGCAACGATGGAATAAAATGGTGCAGAGATGTGATATAGACTGAACCTGAAACAAAATGTGAGTGTCCCGGTTGAGGCAGTGGGCGATGAAAGCTTCCGCCGAATCTCTGCAGCTATTAATTTGAATGCTTCGCTTCTCTTTGGAATTGGATTGTAGAACCTGAACCCTAGATTGTGTCCGGAAAAGACGATGCCTGCAGATCTCTGGTTTTGGAGGTGGTGGAATGATGTTCATGATTGTTTGTTCAGCACCGTAATAGGGAGAAGAGGTTGTAACGGCTGATGATTAACTCCCTCCTGAATTTAGGCAGGTGAGGGGAAGTGCGCGAAATGGTTTACTCTCTCAAATTGCGCAGTTGACGGATAAAACCCAATTCCAAAGGGTAAAATGGGGATATTAATCCTGAGTAACACGATGGAGGTGCTATACAAGTGTAAATGGGATGGGAGTGCTAGATGTGTATTTTGTGTTTTTTAATGGTGCTATATTGGATGATTTCTAAAAATTAAATACCTAAACTACCCTTAAAATATGTCATTCTTTTTCACCTTATCTTCTCATTCATCATTACCCCTCTGAAAAGTAATGTCAATTTTGAAAAATCTACTCTATTTTTTATTTTCCTTAAATATGCTCAAAAGTTAAAACATGCGATTTATATTGGGACAGAGGGAGTATGAAAAAGAACATGATAGTACAAATAATAGCCTCCATGTTCATGAATCAAATTGGTACTAATGGCTAAGCTAGTGTATACTCCGTACTCTATTCTACATTCTCATCAGAACAATCACACTTGCAATCGGGGTCATGAATCAAATTGTCAATGTATTTTAAAACTAATTTTTCCGACGTCTGATAATTAAGGATTACTTTCTCAGTTTTCTATTTAACCTATTTCTAAAGTTTATTCTTTTTCATTTTTAAGAACAACAACAACAACAACAATAATAATAATAATAATAATAATAATGATGATGATAATATTAACAATAATAATAATTCGTGATGGGATCTGATTTTAATAAGTCCTGATCTGATCTGATTGGATCTGATCGGATCTGATTCGATCTGATCTGATTTTAATAAGAATAAGAAAACATAAGAAAAAAATAAGTTTGAGTTTTTTTTACTCAAGTTATCAACTGGTTGAATAGACATATGTTGGGCTTTGTGGAGGCTTGGGCTTGACTTTTGGCCCGGCCCATGTTACGAAACCCTAGATGCACTCTTCCTATATATATATGCCATACTTGTACTTGTAATGACCACCACAAGTGAAATAAGAAATCCTCCTGTTGCAGCCGTGGATTAGGGAAACCGAACCACGTTAAATTCTTGTGTGTCGTTTGTGTTCCGTTTCTCTCGTTTCTCGCAGATATTTGTGTGTGTTGTGTGTTTAATTCCCAACACTAGGGTTTTTGAGATCTGTGCGCGCTGAACCGCCGGGAGAGATCTGAGATTCCCGTTGTCCAATCCGAAGAGGAGCCGCTGCGAATCTCCGTTGTAAAGGAGAGTAGCGCCGCCTGTTCTAGGAGGGGGAGAGTGCTGCGCAGGTGTTCGCCATCAGTCTGCGAGCCGCCGCAGCATCCCCTCGTAGTGCCGCCGTCGACCGCGGCAGGAGCGAGAGAGGGTGCAACGCCGTCGAGTTCGCTGTTGGGTCTTGCCGCCGTCGCCGTGAGGATCGCCGCCGCCGTTTGCGTACAGACCGCCGCACGCAGGAGCAGCGGCAGAAGGAGCCGCCGCCGCGTGGGGGAGCCGTCGCCGCCATCCATAGCAGATCCTGAACCGCCGCCGTCCTCCTCAGTCGCGCTGCTGGTTCGAGGAGGTCGCCGCCGCCGTCCTGTTTGCCTTCGCCGAAAAAAAGCAGAGGGAAAAAACAAGGGTTTTTTTTTGCTGGAGCGAAGGAAGAAAGAAAAAAAGAGAGTAAAAAAAACAGTTGGGCCGTATTCAGCAGTCAAAGAATTGAAGAAAAAAAGGGTTTTTCCTTTGGGCCGGGCAGTGGGCCAATTTGGTCAGCCCCCATCCTTTTTTTTCTTGTTTTTTGGTTTGGTTGGGCTTTATTTGGAGTGAAGGGGGCCTGTTTTTCTGACGAAATTACCAAGATCTGAAATTAGTTGTACCGGGTATCTCGTTTGGTCGTGTGATATGGCAGAAGATGGGAAGTTCCGAATTGAGAAATTCGACGGTACAGATTTCAGTTGGTGGAAAATGCAAATTGAAGATTTGCTGGTTCAGAAAGATTTGGACGTGGTATTGGGTGACAAGCCAGAAAAGATGTCGGATGCAGATTGGGCAGGTTTGGATCGGAAAGCAATGTCCGTGATCCGTCTCTCGTTGACCAAGAATGTTGCGTTCAACATTCTGAAGGAGAAGACAGCGAAGGGAATTATGGAAGCGCTGTCTAATATGTACGAGAAGCCATCTGCAGCTAACAAAGTTTTTCTGATTAGAGAGCTGGTGAATACAAGGATGAGAGAAGGCACTTCAGTTACCGAGCATATCAACAAGTTGAATTCGATCTTAGCCAGACTTGCGTCAGTGGGCATTAAGTTCGATGATGAAGTTCAAGCTTTGCTACTGCTATCGTCTTTGCCTGATAGTTGGTCCGGAACGGTTACAGCGGTTACCGGTTCAGTGGGGCCTGATGGATTCACCTTTGATCAGATTCGAGATCTCGTTCTTGGCGAGAATGTCAGAAGAAAGAGTTCAGGGGAGTCATCCGGTGAATTACTTCATGTTGGTAGAGGCAGAAGGAATAGCAGAGGTAGTGGGAGCACGAACAGACGAAGGAGTCAGTCCAAGACTCGGGATAGCTCAGGTGTAACGTGCTGGAAATACAAGGAGGTGGGGCATTTTAGGAATCAATGTCCGAATGACAAGAAAGTGAACATTGCTGAAGGCTCTACGAGTGACGAGGAGGTCACTTTGACTTGCTGCGAGGAAAGCAATGTGGATTCCTGGGTCATGGATTCTGGTGCTTCATTTCATGCCACCCACAACGGTGAAGCATTGCAGAATCTGGTTGTTGGGGACTTTGGAAAGGTACGACTAGCGGACGACAGTGCTCTTGAGGTGACGGGCATGGGTGACATGGTGTTGAAGACCTCAGTCGGTCTTTGGACTTTGAAGGATGTCAGAGTGGTTCCAGCTTTGAAGAAAAGTTTGATTTCTGTCAGGCAGTTGGACGAACAGGGACATGAGGTGAAGTTCAGAGATGGGCAGTGGAAGGTCGTCAAGGGAAATCTTGTCATGGCCCGCGGTAGGAAGAGTGGTTCGTTGTATATGGTCGAGTTACCATCTGAGGGAGTGACCGCCCCGGTTCATAAGAGAAACAAAGTCTGGTTCACAGAGTCTCGTGGGCAGAATAAGGTTGTCTATGCAAGAAAGAAACCTAGAGCCACAGGTCAGACTCAGGATGAACGAGCGTGGAAAGGTTCAAGGGGGCCAGTCAGAGGTATTTGTGGCAGTGGGAGCTCAAGAGGCGCTTCAGCCAAGTTGCTTAGAAGACAGTGGGTCAGGAGAACCAGTGTTCCAGCTGTTAGATCATCTCCAGAAAATTTCTTGCTGAGTATGGAGAGTGTTTGTTCTCAGGATGTTCCAGGATCCGGCAGTGTGCATCTGCAGTGGGAGCCGGTAGGGACCGAGGACGAGTCAGGGGTAGATTTTGCCGTGACTGATGTGTTGGAGCTTGGAAGAGCTTCAACGGGCCTTTCAGTTGTCTGATGATAGGGCCGCTGCAACAGGAGAGTTGAGGAAGATTACTCGATGTACAGGCGATCGTGGCGGATGGCAGTTGATGATTATCAAGCCTCCAAGTGGGAGAATGTTGGGCTTTGTGGAGGCTTGGGCTTGACTTTTGGCCCGGCCCATGTTACGAAACCCTAGATGCACTCTTCCTATATATATATGGCATACTTGTACTTGTAATGACCACCACAAGTGAAATAAGAAATCCTCCTGTTGCAGCCGTGGATTAGGGAAACCGAACCACGTTAAATTCTTGTGTGTCGTTTGTGTTCCGTTTCTCTCGTTTCTCGCAGATATTTGTGTGTGTTGTGTGTTTAATTCCCAACAACATAGGCTTCTTTTCGAGCTCCTAAATCTTGGTTATGATACTATGTAGAATTATGAGATTCCAATGCAAAATCAATTGGCAACGAGAGGAGTAACTCTTATTCTTATATGTTGCAAAGTAGTCCTTTTTAGCTTGGATTTGTATTGATGTGGGACAATATCCTAAACAGATTGAATTGAGTGATGGGAACTTACAGGTCTTGGGTTTTTGAAAACTATCTCCACTGCGGCTTCGTCGGTCAAGTGTTCCCAAAGTCCATCCGAATAAATCAACCCCACTGCGCCACCCCTACCCTCTTGCCCCTCCTATCCCGCTACCCCCGTGCACACCCACCTTTCTTGTCCACCCCCGCCCCACGTGCCGTCCTCCGCCACTCGCCAACCCAACTATGAACCAATTCAGATGAGTTAACTTTCATATATAAGCTAATCAAATGGATTAGCTTATATATAACGAAATTATTGGTTAGGTTTTGCTCATACTCATTTTGAGTGTCAACGTGTGACATCGACTCCAACTCAAGCATATACGTACAGTGTTCGAAAAATTATATTAATACTCCGTAATTACTATCCATATCCCTCGATATAAGCCCCCAGTCCGAAGCCACCCCTCTAACCCTTTCAATTTCATTCAAAGATTTTGTTAACTTTGAAGTCAAATTTTTTGGTTAACTAGCATTCTAACCCGTGCGACGCACGGGATCGAACGAAAATTTTGTCGATTCTAAAACTTTTTCCATGTAATATTTTTTTGAAATAAAAAATATATTTTTTACATGATTATTAATACTATAGATGAAAATTACAAAGTCGAATAAATAATATTTGAAGAATTGAATGTGTACTCAACAAAGTGTTTTTAATACCAAATTTTGTAATAGATTTTAGGATATACAACATTTTTGGTATGGTTGCTAGGATTTCTATTGTCATATAGAACCAATATTTGTAATCTTGTCTTTGTCTTCAGTCTTGAAACAACAACATAAAGTTGACCATGAATGAAGAATGAATTGATTAAATATAATCCAACAAATTATAATGCTGACCTTGACTTTTGTTGATAGTCATTGCAAAACATAAAACTTTTGAGAATTGTTCTCCCTATAACTTCAGTTGTAGTCCTAGATCAGATGGTACCAAATTCATTCGAAGTATGTAAACCTTTTCTTCGTATTTCCCAAAAACATTAAAGCATCGATAACACTCTTTCGCAGCTATTCAAACTATTTTGATACCCTTTATTTTTTTAAAAACTATATTGTGCTTTGACATCTTTAAACATTTGAATTTATTCAAAAATTCAACTATTATCCAATAGCTATAAACGCTAACATCTAAATCTGCGTGGCATGAGTAATCAAAACTCTTCATCTCCAGTAATGAGGGATATGAAAAACCATTTACCATTTCTACAACCTCAAGCATGGGTGCCAGCAGTGCCCTATCCTCGAAATGAGAATAACTTTTTAGATAAAAAAATATTAGTAATCCTATGATTCTGAATGAAAAAATGTGAATACAATTTGCAAATTTTATTTATTTTTTCTTTTACATTTGAATAAGTAATCATTCAAGCCCGTGAATTTTTGTTTTATAAAATATTAATTTAGAGATTTAAATAAACAGGAGTATTTTATATTTTCACATCAATGTTTAAACCAATAAAAGAAAAACTAACTTCATTTAATAAGCATATCATAAACAAATATAAAATTTATTTGGAGACAAAGAGAATATTTTTTTTAGCGAAATAAATCTTATTTATTCATTGAAAGTTTTATTATAAATGAAATGGAAAAGAATGTAAAATTAAAAAGAATACCTATATTCCATATTTAAATTTATTCGATGATGTTAAAATCATAAAGAATGTTTGTGTAAACATAATATGGTATGGTGACACATATTTTGATTAGCTCTATTCTATATTTTAATTTAAGTATCATTTGCTAATAGGTAATTAAAAATAATATAGTTTTAAATTTAGATCATAAATGGTCTAAAACGTAATAAGTTTTCTAGTCATTAAATCAAATCATAAAATTAATATATTTAAACTATTAAATTATGTGTAATCTTGAATTGTCAATCCCACGTTGAATTCTTTCTGAGTGAATGTTAAATATTTATTTAAGTATATTAAATGTTTACTTAACTTGTAATTCATTGCCTTTCATAAATTTCTAACAAATGATTTTTTTGGTTTTTTTGGTTACCTTACATAAATAAATGAGGATTAATGCCACATAGATATCCACATGTCAATTTCTTAAAGAGTTACTTGTCATTTTTTAAAGAGCCACATGTCAATTTTTTTAGTAAGGAGTCTAAAAATATATATAAAGGATAAATACTCATATCAACTTTCTTTATGAGTCTCATTTTTATATATAAAAGATATATTAAAATTTTAACAATTTTATTTTTAAGTATGTTATAAATTTACTCAACTTGTAATTGATTGCCTTTCATAAATTTCTAACAAATTATTTTTTATTGTCTTACATAAATAAATGATAATTTGTCAAAAAAAAGTGCCACGTAGATATTGCCACATGTCAATTTTTTAAAAGTGATGGAAGATGACATGTAAAAAATAGCCTAGTAGACATTTCACATGTCAAATTTCTAGGAGGTTAACTCTCCTTTTTTATATATAATAAAGATAAAGATGTTGTTCCTTCCAATCTAAACAGGGGGCCGTGCCATTTTCACATTTTCTCACCACACATTCTCGCAATATATGTCATATTGTATCCATGATATAAATGTAATGGAGTGTGAAACACATGACTAAGTGTAATGGAGTATGAAACATAGAACTAAACATATCTTATGTGTCTCTGTCCAATAAATAAAAGAAGAAACCAAATCATCTAGCCTACTGCCACTATATAAACATCCACAAATCCCAAGACATCACCCCAAATTCTGCAACTTTAGCGTGAGACATTTTCACAATTCAACCATTACTATTCTTTTCTGTGACATCTCACTTGCTGCACATTTGACCCACATCTTCTAAAACACAAACAGATCGTTAAACATCAACACACCACCATAAGACTATAAACAATTGTAAATATATACTCTACACTTTTAAAACCTGTCAAGTACTCTTGGCATATATTAAATAAAGAAATAATATCAATATTGATATACATGCACTCAAAAAATTAATGTATTGATATAATTTAAGTAAGGAATAACATACAATACTAACCATGAGAAGAGACAATGCACTAATATCTAGTAAAGAATTGTAAATTTTCTCAGTCAACTATCCCATAATCAAATCAAATTGACTTATATCAGAGTGACATGAAATGCATTACCTCATAGCTTTTGTATGTCACTCCCTTCAACCCTCAAACCCTTATTCACTCATTCAAATATATTTTACTTTAGGACATATGTATGCAAAAAATATGTATAAAAGAAGGTTCAGGCGAAACCTCATCTTTAAGTAAAAACTTGTAAGAATTAATGTTATGACCTCAAATCATTAAATTCATAATCATATTAATTATATCTTTTTTAGTTGTTATTCCATATTTTTGAATTAGATCATAGTAAGAAAAATATAAAGAAAAATAATAATAAATGAATCTTTATAAATTTCATATTGATGTAAGACTTTATTAGTTTATCCCTCCGTCCCCCAGAGATCTTCTCAATAGCCCTTTTTCTCTGTCCACAATAGATCTTCTCATTTCATTTTTTAATAATTAAAATACCATAACTATCCCCACTTACTTTATTTATTACACCTCACTTACCTCATTTAATACAATCCACCCATATTTCATTAAGGGTATTATGGTAAACTTTCACCTTTTTTCAACTCTCCTTAAAAACCACCAAAAGTCAAAATGAGAACATCTTAGGGGGACGGAGGGAGTATATTTCTTTCTGACTTTTCATAGCAAATACAATTATGTTTTAAACAAAGTACATATTATTAGTATCATACAAAACCCTTAAACAAAATAGTATAAAAGTTGAAATCTAACCTCAATACATTGAGTTTAGAAGCCCCGCAAGACAAAACATAACCAATAGAGCAACAAAAGAAGATTCTAATTGCTAGACCGATCAATGGGTGTAATCGTAATTAAATGAAAATCAAACTGGTTCATTAGATTTTTCATAAGTAATTAACCTTTCCATTCTTCAAGATCACTTAGACAGAATTAACCAAAAATAGAAATGAAGCCAAATAAGCCTTTAGTCAAAAGATGCACAAAGGCACAAAACCTTACAGTGCAGCCTTGGAGAATAAAACAACAGTCATAATATGTCCATGAACAGTGTGTCCCAAGGCCATCTTTGTAACAATTCACACCATCAACTTTTCATCAACATGTACTAAATTACTAATTGATATATTCATTCACAAAAGTCAGTAACATTTTTTTAGGTAAATTAATAGCCTTTTGACAACATTTTCTCTGATAAAAACAGGCGACGTATATACTCAAAGTGAGTACTAATAAACAAAGTTGAATGTGGCTACTTTCAACTAAACAAACCAATTAAAGAATATTTAAAAGATAAGAACTTGGGATGAATTAGAGGCAGTACACATGAATAAAATGTAAAAGACCTAAATTGTTTAGACATACTGGTTTGTTTGCCTCTTTTTACAACATTCTTTTATAAACGAATTCTATCATTTTAGATCATACGTTGAATTTTGAGACGCTGCTATTTTCAACTCTGACATGGTTGGGAAAGAAAATAGATGCAAATTCGGAAGGATATATATTATTTTAAGGAAAAATTGAATACATTAAGCTGGCAGGCTATGGCTAAGCATTCTCCTATTTTACATGTTTTGTATGCAAATGGGATATTTCTTGTTCAGAAAATCACATCCAATTCAGGAAAGAAGTGTTTGCAATATTGTTCCTTAGTGTAGTCATGTAATGTAAACTTATGAAAATTTAGCTACCTGTTTTGATGTATTTGAACACTTCTTCTGGAGTCAATAGAGTTGCAAACAGGTTCGTGAATGTCTTCTACAGTTTATTCATCTTCATAAAAAGCTTTAAATATTGTCAGATGGTAAGATATTTTTTTCATTCATTTGCCTGCAAATTACAAAACATGATAACTCATCTTTTTCATTAAGACATAAAAAAATAGCATATCATACTTTTCTTCTAGAACTAACAAATTGAAAAGCCCCTTGGCTTGCACTTATCCAAATCCCTCCGGCATTTACTTCTCATCCCTCTCCCACTATGCTTTGGATCCAATAATAGATCAAGCAAAAATCACACACTATGCTTTATCTGCATATAAAAATAACACACTATGTATTCCCCATACATAGCCAAACTATCATTATATCACCAATATGGTCCACACGAAAAACAATATCATCCAAGATCCAATCTAATAATAGGCATAGTTCTTGAGGTACGAATCTAAACAATATCATCCAATCTAATATGAAACAAAAAGAGGTATCTATACTCGAAAAAAATATGCGCAAGGGGTGTGGTGGGTTGTTCTTGAGGAGAATGAATATATATGTAGAATATTGCTCTTACAATAAGAAATTGGCAAAATAAAGAATGTAATTAGGCATAATACGACTCTAAATTAGGTATGCAATCTCGAGGGGTGATTCATAATCGATGAATTTACCAAAAAATTGGGGAAATCGAGAGCCTAGAATCTGAAGTAGGTACGGAATTCGAGAGCCCAGAATCTGAATACACGAAGTTATGAATTGAATAACAATTGCATATGAATTTTGGAAACAAACCTTATTCTCGAATTGACGAAAAGATTTTCCGGATTTTGACGATGTAGATTTCTAGAACTCACGAGAAGAATCCGCAAAGAATCAGAGCAGATTTCCTTTTCTTAGGCGAAGATTTGAAGCGAAAATCAACGGATTTTCTGGAAGAAGCTTTGGTCGCTGAAGAAATCAGCGCATCATGTGCATAGATCCAACGAAAGTGGAAACTGGGAAGGCCTCCGCGATTTAGTCGCAGAAATGGACGTGTGTAATTTGACGTGTAATTAAAATAGAATTCTCAAAGTGAATATATATTAAATCAGTGTTATTGAATATACTAGTTTTTACCCCGTGCTTCGCACAGGCTCGCATATTTCTTTATAAAATATATTTATATGTTAACATAGATATTTTAAGTTAACATTTTGGATGTTTGTTAAAAGTTTAATTCATATATGAACATAATATGAATTAAAATTTAATTTTATTTATTTTAATGTTTTAATAATAATATGATATGCATTAATAAAATAAATAATGTAATAAGATAAATTTTTTTAAAAAAATAGTTTAATTAATAAATATGCATATGTGATTAAATTTATATAATCATTTTTTAAAAAGTAATAAACTAAAATAAGTTGTGGATAGTATAAAAATAATATATATATATATATATATATATATATATATATATATATATGCACATGTGATTCAATTTATACAATCATTTTTTGAGAAGTAATAAACTAAAATAAGTTGTGGATAATATACAAATAATTTTATATGTGTGCGTATGTGTGTGTGTGTGTGTATTCAAAATACGGAGTATATTTTACAATGGTGAAATATATATTTTTAGTTTTATTAAAAAATGAATTTTTTTTAAAATGTATTAAAATATATTTAAAATGGGTGCAATACATATATCCACTTCATAAATGAGTGCACATGTGGCATGCCACATGTCAACACTACAACAACTAAACTCTATTTTACACACACACCCACATATATATATATATATATATATATATATATATATAATATGGAGTATATTTTACAATGATGAAATATATATTTATAGAATTATTAAAAAAATGAAAAAGTTTTATATGCAAATGTATTCAAAGATCTTTTAAAAAAATTAAAATGGACCAATGAATTGAAATGCATAAATCCACATCATTAGTGAGTACACATGTGGATGCACATGTGGCATGCCACATGTCAACACTACAACAATTGAACTCTCTTTTACATATATATATATATATAGGATACTAGTATTTAACCCGTGCAACGCACGGGGTCGAACACATGTTATATTTTTAAATCTGCTAAATTTTTAGTTTTAGTAAAAGGTTAAAAATATAGCTAAATATAATATACAATTTTAGAAGTATAATGAATGATACGACATAAAGAGAGTATACTAACTAAAATTCATGTATATAAAAAATGAGAAAATGTATAAGTGCATTAACTAAATCCAATTTTTTTTTGAAAAACTTCAGGGTAAACCACATTTTGGGTGAAATTGCAAGGGTCGCCGTTGTCATCTAAAACTAACACTTTCAATCCTTTCTTATTCTTGACTCGTGAAACTGCAACATAAAGTTAACCGTGAGTGAAAACCGATTTAGTCAAGAATAATCCAACAAATGATAATGTTTGGTCTTGACTCTTATTGATCGTCATGCCAAAACATAAAGATATTGGAAATTGTCTTCTTTGAAACTTAAACAGTAACCAAATTCTTTCTTGGTAAGTAAACTTTCTCACCGGCATTGTTTCCTGATACAACAATTGCACCGATAACGTTTCTTCGCAAATCTTTAACTATTAACCTTGTATCATTACACAACCCAAATGTTTGATCAATGTTTCTTAATAACATAATTGGTACTCCTTTCTTCAAAACAATTCTGTGGTTTAGAATCTCAGAACACTTGATATTCGTTCAAAAAATCAGTTGTTATCAAATCACCATCTATGTCTATATCTGAATCTGCTTGACAAGAAGAATCAGAGCTCAAATGCCTCTTTTTAATCTCCCGGAATAAAAGATAAAATAAAATCATTGATCATTTCTACAACTTCAAGCGTTGGTGCTAATAAAGCTCTATCCATAAAAAAGTATAATCATCCATATTTTTCAATAAGTCTCGATACGTAAATTCTACTATGCTCAGTAGGGGAAAACTTGAGCTCAGGATCAAGGATTCAGGTGAAATTTCAATTTCACCAATTTCATCATTAACCACGCCAAGCTGTCTATCTCCAATCTTCATTATCCAATCAAAAAAAAGTTGTGTGTCTCTCACTCTCTATGTGACTGGATGAAGACAAATGTAATCTCATATTTTTAGTCAATGTAAATACTTTACAATACGACCAAAAAGTCGATGAATTCACAGTAACATTTTGATTTTAATCACAATAAAAATTATAATTACTTATAATGTATAATTGTTTGTCTTAATTCTATTTTATCAACGACTATAATTTTACAGAATTGAATTGATCATTATGATTTTTTTTTGTCCAAGAATTGCATAGATTGTAAAAGAAATTAGTGTGACAATATTTTTGAGCAAGAGGGCATACTATTTCATATTTTTCTTAAATTTTTTTATATAGTGGTGTATTATACTTGGTGATTCTCATAGTTGATTAAATCTTATTAGGTTTTATTTGGTAGACAGCAAACTATTTGAAATTTAATTAAAAAAATAAAAATATGATTATAAGATAGTATTTAGTATCTCGGTTAATATTTTATATTCTTATAAACAAAATTAAAATAAAATATAAATGTAAGAAACTATTCCATAATATTATACTCAAAACGTATAGTATAACTTTGCTTTCTTGATTATTATACATTTTACGTCGCAACAATGTATAACACTTTATTCTCAGTTTTTATTGAATAACTTTTCATTTTTTTCAAATAATTGTAGAATTAAGTAAATAAAACATACTAAACATTTTAATTATTTTTCTATAACAGGAGATACTGAAATGGTAAAACATAAATAATACTCCCTCCGTTCTCAAAAATACTTCCTCTTTCATTTTTTCACTTCCAACAAAACACTTCCCCTTTCTATTAAAAACTGTGTAACACACGTCTAAACCTAAAGAATATTATTAATTCTCTCAAGCTCACTCTATGGAGTTCTATTCTCAACTTTTCTCTATTTTAATGGTCTTCATTTTCTTGCTCAATTCATCACCGTCTCTATCACAATATTCAACCTCTTTCATTCTTTTGTCCACAGTGTAGTTGGTGCTATGATGTTCAGGTCGTTCAAACTGATTGTCCTTTGATTTCACAAAATCTTCTTTCAAATTCTGCGATACAAAACCAAGAAATTAATTCAAGTTACATTAACAATACCACAGTTGGTGTGATTATTGTGATCTAGATTTTAGGATGATTTACTTGAATTAATCACACCAACTGTGGAGTTCTATTCTCAACCAAGAAATTACTTCATATATGTTTTTATGAAGTAAACATGGACTTAAACCTGTTCTAGGTTAATTTCCCAAAAGGCCACATCAGGGACACCCACATAACCTTGGGAAGATCTAAATGCCTAGCTAAGCAGTTCAAACAAAGTCTACCCTATAACTCTAATCGTCGGCCTACAATGGTTCCTTTCTTCAGTCATGTCCACAGTGAGGTGTATCATCTCAGTCTGCTTCTCCTTAGGTCTTCCACTACCCCCTTAATAGAGGAAAAAATGTTGAGCACATTTCCCACTGGGAAACTACTCCGTATTACATTAATGTTTAGGAATTAAATATTAATGCTACACAATTGAGCAATGGCACTGTCCTCACTTAAAGAGAAATTGCTTCAGATATTCTCAAAGAAAATGATGCTAAAGTGTGAACTGACATGCTCCAATGGTCTAAATGTCATATTAATACCATAACATGAGGAACCAATTTTAGAAAAAGTAATTGAAAGAAGACATGTTTGGTATAAGTAATTGTAATTCATTTCGATTAAGTGAGAAATATTACAATATTGTCTGCTTTTAGCTATGACCTATATGCACCGACTTGACGTAGAGTGTAGAATTTAGCACTTAAGTAGGTCTAGAATCTAGCTGTTGAGTAGTATTACATCATCCCAATGATGCATAATCATGATGTAAGTATCTTAGGATTGATTGTTTGCTTTATGTAGTTGTAATTCATTTCAAAAAGTAAGAGAGAAATATAACAATATTTTTCATTTTACTTAGGTTGCAACCTTGCTTTGAAGAATATATTTAACCTTGCTTTACTCAACCCTTAAGTTTGGGTTAAAATTTGAGTCCAGCCTTTTCTTTATAAAACTCCAGCGTATTGCAGATTATGATATATAAAATCAGAGGGTGTATACTATTTTGAAATCTTAGGAATCAAACTCTCAAATATTATATTAAAGGATTTTGCCAATTCAACCATTTCATGATTTTCATCAAATTCACAATGATTTCAAACACTTTTTTCCTCGCTAGACATATAAGATGAATGTAAAAGTAAAAGCGAAGCTCACGGTTTGATACATGTAGCTGCCGAGCACGCCTTGGGCATCACCAGTTGGCATTAAATTGCCAGCGCAACTATCTGAAATCACACACGTTTAATCACATTAGCCAGTATTAAAACAAAGCAGAGAGAGATGTGGGAGAGAAGACATTGTGACTGTAATGTATGCATTTCATCATGGCGTAACAGTTGTCTTTGCGGTCGCTAACTAAGGCCACCACTTTCATGGTTTGCTGCCAATCAGCTTGCTGCTCCGGTCGATAGAATTGAATATGGGATGCACGATAGAGTTGGGGATAAGAAGAAAATCCTATAGGAAGTATACTACATATGTCCACCACACACTACAGAGATTAAGTTATTTAAAATCCAAATGATTGTTGATATTATAGTCTGTAACTTATAGCATAAAAGAGTAAAAAAAAAAGGATGAAATGCTTGCAGCATCCTAAGCAATAACTCAAAGCAGAAGATATGCATGAAATGCTTATTAAAACTACATTAGCAAATAGGATTTGAGATTAGATCATCTAGATCAATAAAAAAAATGTGAAAGTCATATATGTTTCCATAATTTCAACTGTTCATTGCCTCTAATTACAATTAAACTTACTATTTTAATTCACTTGTTTCATAAAATAGAATAAAAAAATTTAAAATATTAAATATGAATTTTTAATTAAAAAATTTGGTTAAAATTTAACAATTATCAAAATACTAATACATAAAGATGAATTGAAACAGATGAAAAGTAATCATTTAAAAAAATAGAGAAGAAACCTGGACAGTTAGATGGACATAAATTGTATGAAGATGGCGATGAATGCTAGAAATCAAGCTAATATGCTAGACTGATTTGCTTGTCTCTTGCAGCAAAATAGATAATCAAATTCGTATTGTCCACATCAATATGAATACTCGAAATGAAACATAAAATGTATGATATTATCTCAACTTTCCATTCCAATTAGGTTTCCAATTAGCAAAAATGCACACCACTGGGGAAAAAAATCAAGATGTGGAAATTGAAATTTAATTTGAATTGGGATTCACAATTTGATGCTAGGGATTGAAAATTATTATGAATCCAGATGCAAGGATGCAGATTTAAGTTTCAAAAATTACTCGAGTTAGGCATAATACGGTCATGAATTCATACCAGTTGTAAGTAGAAATGATATTTCTGTGGAGCCAGTGGAGTCCGTGGATTTGGCTGCTGCAATTTCCTTCCGGCAGGATTTCCTCTGGGCTGGCCGTGTAATGTTACAGACAACGGATGCAATCGGATTTTTTTCCTTTGAATCAGGATTCAATTCGAGACTTTCCTTCTGTGTAAAATCCGTGAGGCGGAGACGCGAAAAACATGCATAATTTGGGCGAGATAAGACATTCCTATGGGAAGAAGATTTCACGTCAACGGATTCTTTCCTTTTGCATTGCTCCTGTGAATCAGTCGAAAATTTGACCGGGCGATAGATCTAGAAGAACGAAGAAAGAAATCGCGAATAGATGTGTGAAATCCCGGATTTCAAGCGTTCTTCTTCGCCAAATTGCCTGGAACGAAGAAAGGACCTTTCCTCAAATTTTTCTTCGGGGAATGAAAAAAGTTGAACAGGTGGATGCTCCAACAAATGACGCGTGGAAGGCTGATGTGTCATTCAAATAAACATCTTTAAATGACACATGTCATCATTCTAGGCTATCAACTCTCAAACATTATATTAAAGGATTAAATCAGTGATTGAATATATATTAAATCAGTGAATAAGTAATGTAAGTATTTATATCCTTTATCCTTTATATATAAAAAGAAGACTCCATTCTCTAAGAAGTTGACATTTGGCATATTCAAAGCTTGACATGTGGCATATTAGGAGCTTGGCATGTGGGCATATTATGAGGCAATTTAACTAAATTTACTCTCTTTCATTATTTCACATTTTTTAATCTTTGTTTCAAAAATGATATATAGTAATTATTTATTTTGAACCCATGAATTCAAAATTAGAATTAAAATTATTTTCCGTGTAAATTATTACTTTTAATAAAATATCATTTTTTAAGTATTCTACGTACATATATTTTTATGACACTTAATATGTAACTTAATTTAAGGTATAGAAAATGCGAATTCAATGTTTTGGAATAAATTTATTTGTTAAAGAGAAACATTCAATTTTATGAAATTACTCTTTCCAATACAATACAATATTTTTTACTCGCTTCATTTATAAAAAAATTGATTAATAAATAAGATGATTGTTTCACATTTAAATAATTTTCATACAAGTATTAGTTTATAATATTTAAAATTAAATTATTTTTGATTCTATTTATTTTAATAATAATGTAAAATTAAAAACAAATAATACATTTCAATAACTAGATTAAAAAAAATCAAAAATCAATACATTACTGGACAAAAATTGATTTTTTAAATAATAAACAAAACATTCTCTTCATAAATAAATAATATACGAAGTATTATGAATGTTTATGATACCTTTAAATGAAGTTAGTTTGATTATATTTATTTAAATATTGACAACTAATAAATAAATACTTTATTTGCCTATTATGAAATTTCTTATTTTTTAACACATAATATACCACGCACCTAAAATATTCTTTTCTAATTCAATAGAAGTTAGATTTTTTTATAATAATATTCTTTTTTAATTCAATATTTTTTTCTCTTTATGTATAACAAAAAATTCAATTAATAAACACGTAACTCTTTTCACCTTTAAAAAAATTTAAAGAGTAATTGTTTAGGATATGCTCTAGAAAATTAATTTTGAATGTATTTGTTTAAATAATGATATAAAATTAAAAAAACCGAATATATTTTCAAAACTTTTTTTAAAAGAATTAAAAGAAAATAGATGATTGGGTTATACTTATCTTCAACTAGAAAAATACTACACATAATTTTGTAGTTTAAATATATCAATTTTATAATTTGGTTTAATTTGGAGTACATTTTAAACCATTTATGATCCAAATTTAAAAATATATTATTTTTAATTATCTATTAGCGAATGATACTTAAATTAAAATATAGAATATAGTTAATCAAAATATGTGTCACCATACCACACTATGTTTACACAAACATTCTTTAAGATTCCAACATCATCGAATAAATTTAAATGTGGAACATGGGTCTTCTTTTTAATTAGAATATTCTTTTTAATTTTACATTCTTTTCCATTTCATTTATAATAAACCTTTCAATAAATAAATACGATTTCTTTAGTTGAAAAAGATACTCTCTTTGTCTCCAAGTGAATTTTATACGAGTATTTATTTATGATATGCTTCTTAAAAGAAGTTAGTTTTTATTTTATTGATTTAAACATTGATGTGAAAATATAAAATATTCCTCTATATTTAAATCTCTAAATTAATATTTTATATAACAAAATACGCCTAGACTATTTTTTAATGATTAACTATTTAAATCAAATAAATTAAAAACTAATGTTTTCACAGGCTTGAATGATTACTCATTCAAATGTCTGAACCATTGAGACATCTGAACCATTAAGAGGCTGAAACAAAGAGTCTGAACCATTAAGTGCTGAACCAGACATCTGAACCATTAAGAGGCTAAAACAAACAGCCCCTTAGTCAATTAGATGAGTTCCTTACCATCCAAATTAGAGTGCTATAAGTTTGGCAAAGGTAAAGCACGACATGTGGCAGAGCTGATGTGTCACTCTTTTAGACAAACCGGCCGGTCAAACCTGTTGGACCAGCTTTTTTTTTTACAATTTTTTCCCTAAAGCATACCACCATGGGAGTTTGAACCCAAGATCTCTTAGTCAATTAGATGAGTTCCTTATCATCCAATCTAGAGTGCTTTTTGTTACATTTTCACTTAACCTATAATATTTCATAATTAAATTAGGATTGTATAAAAATTTCTTTTTAGTTATAAAAAATATAATCCTTTAATATAATGGGAGAAAGACCAAACTAGGGAAAAAAAATATAATCCTTTAATATAGTCTCTTTAGATTAGTATTTGCAATTTTTTCACGGAATATTAAAAGAATCAATTCCTAAATGT